CAATGCAATATATTTTGAAGTCTGCTCTTCGTAAATCACACCTACTATACATACTACATATGTATATATATATATATTATTTTGAAAAAATTAAAAAATATTTCAAAAACAATTATGATTGAATATTTCAATATAATAGCAATAATTATAATGTTAAATATAAATGATTGAATATTATTTTATACTGCCATACTCTTATTCCTGGAACGTATAAGTACTGGTCTGGCGCTTGAAGAGTGCAATATGCCCGTCATATTCTGCTGTAAAAAAATGTGATCTTTATTGTTCTTCATAGTGAAATTTTTTTGTAATTATCAGTATCAAAGGAATTATCAATATAAATTAACAATGCATTAAAAATTCAATAGAACGTTTCGGTCAATGCTAATTAAGCGTGTAGCTGAGATAATGACTCAACCTCTCAGTCTTCAGAATCTCGACACTTGTATTTATCTCGTCCTCTGCACCTGTCTTTGAATTCTTTTTCAGTGACAAGTCGCTGCTCCCGTAAGACATTCAAACTTGGTCAAGTGTTCTCCTCCACACTCACTCCAGTGACTTGCTTCTCTTCTCCTTCAACCTCATCTTTAATGCATACCACTTACCAAAGCGGGTCCATGTCAACAAGGGTATTTCACATGTAAGACGAAATATGGATGCAGACGGAAATCCAGAGATGCCCTCCAGTTGGCACCACAGAAATGGACTTGCCCAGGACAACACGGTTGGCATGCAAATTTCTCTTATGCGTCTTTGAGAACGGAGAAGATCAACTGAAACGTGAACATTGGACAAGGCTTGCGGATACCGCAATACTGGCCCAAAGATAAATCCCAGTGCTCTAGCCACCAATTTCAAATGGATAAAAAACGTAAATCCAGTCAACGATGTTTTAATTAAATCCAGGAAAATATATACATCTAACAAAAACCCATGCTCACTCAACGACGTTGAAGCAAAAAAAAAGTATTCCCAGAATGAAAAAACGAAAATGGTTTATTCGATTAAATTTTAGAATTTCATTTGAATCACGGTAGGTCCGTGTAATTGAATTTTTTGCCTTCCACCCGTTACTAATACTAGTAAACCTATACTAGTGTAACGGGTTCTGCTGTTCCGCACCCATGGCGTGTGACAAAAAAAAAAAGAAATGCAAAAGTAAAAACGCATGATAAGGGGTGAAGAAAATAAATATACAAATAGATATTATGAGCTAAGGAGCGAAAATACAATAAGCAAATACGGTCATACGGCTCTGGAGTTGTCCGCACCCTAGCCTGCTAGTTTGCACCACGACTTGATCTCATTTTTTCCATCTCCACGACATTTCGTAAGGAGGCACGTACTAACAGACATGTCGGTCATTTCCGCACAGTAGAGGCTGTTGTACTGCCATACACATATTCAAATTTATCTTATCTTTCCTGTTACCAGCACTATTGCCAAATTCTCAGATAGCCGGCCCGTTTAACACTGGTAAAGAGAGCCGTTATCTTCAATCATCACTGAATAAACAGAACAACCACCTATGGAGGGTAAAAGAAACGTCCTAGGCAAGAGATAATGCGGGAGTTTAAAGAGAAAATAAAAGTAAATTTTAAAAACGTGACGGAAAGTGTTTTCTTACGGTGTTTTGAGTGAAAAAAAGCATGAAGCTCATCTTCAAGAAGAGCCTTCGTAGCTTCCCGGAGCACTCTCAGAGAATTATGAGGCAAATACAGCCATGAGTAGGTACTTGCGACGCCTAGAGAGGGATTTTAACGATGGGAAAATACCAAACGACTTCAGAGATTTTTTCTTTATTTTTGTAGGTTTATTTAGGAAGAAGTTTATGGAGTTACAGTTTAATCTTCTTCTTCATCGGCAGCAGCTCCGCTAGTTCCCTTGCGAAGATTCTTCCTCTTTACGCGACCTGGACGACCACCACCAAATGGCGACTTGAGCGAGAAGTCAATGTGCTTCTGCGAGTCGAGACGCACAATGAATGATGGGATGTTAACCACTTGCTTGCGAACACTGGAATCAGGAGAAAATTATTATGAGAAAACAGTGACCAAGTTGGATCCACTCATGAAAAGACTCGGAACTCTACTCAATTATTATTTTTTTTTCACGTGGTTTTTCACGTAATTCCAATTTAAATTCAATTTTAGCGTTTTTTGGTGATAATATCTACACTATACCAATTTTTTCTTGTTTATACGCCAATTTAATG